TCATATAGGTTCTGAATATTTCTTATCAAGGATATTGTCAGATGTTTTATAGTCTGGGCTGAAACTGGGAGCACAGTCATTTAAAAACCCTATTTTTGAACAGGTTTTTGCTGGTGTTTTTTTTTTTTCCTTAAATAGTCATTTATTCCATTACTACCTCCAACCATTTCCTAATTCTTTATTAATATAATTTTTCAATTGATCTCTGGAAAATTCTGCATATCAAATTATAAAAGCTAAAAATTATAATAATTTTATCTCTTCCTATCTAAAACCTACAACTCTTATGTCTGTTTCAAATTTTATTGCTTGACTGAAACTTTCAAAAATATTAAATTTTAATGGTGGCAGCTGTAATCTCTGGTTTTGTTGTTGTTGTTGTTCTTTGTTTTTTTTTCCCCCAGGAATAGGAACGCCTCTAATGTTTCATCACTAAGTATTAGGCCAGTTTAAGATAAAAAGAAGTGTGCTTCTGTTTAAAAAAAAAAAAGGGAGGGCGCCTGAGTGGCTCAGATGGTTAAACGTCTGCCTTCGGCTCAGGTCATGATCCCAGGGTCCTGGGATCGAGTCCCGCACGGGCTCCCTGCTCCTTGGGAGCCTGCTTCTCTCTCTCTCTCTCTGTCTCTCATGAATAAATAGATAAAATCTTTTAAAAAAATTTGGGCACCTGGGTGGCTCAGTTGGTTAAGCAACTGCCTTCGGCTCAGGTCATGATCCTGGAGTTCCAGATCGAGTCCTGTATCGGGCTCCCTGCTCAGCAGGGAGTCTGCTTCTCCCTCTGACCCTCCCCCCTCTCATGTGCTCTCTCTCTCTCATTCGCTCTCTCAAATAAAATAAATAAAATCTTTAAAAAAAAAACTTTTAAAAAAATTTTTAAAAAAGGGAACATAAATTGAATTTTATCAAAACATTTTTTAGCATTTACTGAGAGGAGTTAGAAAACTATTTGATCTGTTAATATATTAGTCGATAGCCAAGGGGCTTGTGGATAGCAACCAGCCTATAAATAAAGATTCAAAAGAGCGCAAAGGAAAGGTCCCAGATGGAGATGTAAATTTTTGTGTTGTCAGTATACAGCTGGGATTTAGTAGCCTATGATCAGAGGAGATCACCTAAGTAGTGGGTGCATGAGTTCAAGAGAGAACTCATGCCTGTGCTGGGCAAATCCAGCCCATTTCTAACCCTAGATGAGCAAATGTCCCAGAGCCTCAGTAAATCAAGTCTCTCTTCTCTAGATGAAAAAATATTGAGAAGCAAACAAGCATAAGAGGTAGAACAAGTAGAGGCTAAGAGTGTGAGCTTTGATGCCAGAATGCCTAGATTCAAAGGCAGGTCACTCACCACCTTCTGTAGCCTTGAGAGAGATATTTAAGTCTCAGCGTTTCATCTATAAAATGGGGTAATAATATCTTTTTCAAAGGGTAGTTTCAGTTTTTAAAATACACTTAAAGCTCTACACAAATACTGATTCTTCTCATTTTTTTAAAAAGTGACCTGAACATCCTTTCCTATTCTTTGTCTTGTCACTGAGCTTTAAGATGAACTCCAAATTTAATCAAAACATAAACCACTTTTGTGTTCACTTCAGCAGCACATACACTAAAATATAAACCACTTTTTCTGCATATAGTTTCCTATGAACCCTAAAGAGCTTCAAGAGGCCACCAGGGGAATGTGAAGTCCTTTGAAGTTGTATTTGCCATTTAGCCTAAAAATTAACACAGTTACAAGCCAGATAGACTAAACAAGTCTCTCTCTGTCACTCTCTGACAAATAGTCTCTCTGTCGAATAAATAAATAAAATCTTTAAAAAAAAAAAAAAAGAGTAGAAATAGAAACCACTCTTGAAGAGTTCTGCTGTACATAGAGCAGTGGAAGATGACAGTAGAAGAGGAAATGTGGGGCCGAAGGGGCTTTGTCATTTGTTTTTTCAACAAAATAAATTCAGCCCATTTGTATGCTGTTGCGAATGATCCAGTGGACAAGGGAAACAGTGCAAAAGAGAGGACAAATGCTGGAGTGATGTCCTTGGTAGACAGAGTAGTTAGGATCTATCATATAAGTGGAGGAGTCACCTTAGATAAGAACATGCAGAAGAACAGGAGAGAAGGGAGAGGATGTGCAAAGATGCAGGCAGGTGGGTAGCTTTCTCGGTAGAAACATGGGGAAATCTTCTGATTGCTTCTCTTTGAAAGTAAGCTCATTTGCTGTTAATGAGATGGGGAGAAGGGTGATGGAGATTTGGGGACAGTGGTAAGTATGAAAGAATCATCTAAACAAATGTACCCAGAGTTGCCACTTGTGCACATATGTCTTTTATAATATGAAAAAGTAATAAATTGGGTGCCAGGGTGGCTCAGTCGGTTAAGCGTCTGCCTTTAGCTCAGGTCGTGATCCCAGGGCCCTGGGGTCAAGTCCCACATCGGGCTCCCTGCTCCGCGGGAAGTCTGCTTCTCCCTCTCCCTCTGCCTGCTGCTCCCCCTGCTTGTGCTCTCTCTCTCAAATAAATAAATAAAATCTTTAAAAAAGTAATAAATTTATTTTAGAACACCTTTAATACTGCCCTATTGGCTTCAGGATCAATACAAACTAATTAGCATCATATCAAAGACTATTCTTCATTCGTCTTCTTCATAAACCTTAATCTCATCTCCTGTCATATTCTCAGGACAATCTATATTCCATCTTTATCAATTACATAAGAGTTCTCCTCAAATGGCATTATGTTTAATGCTCCCTGTGACAGACTGTATTTTCCAAAGATGACTGAAATAATATATCCCATCCCCTATATTCTTCTGTACTGTGAACTTGATAAGTAGAGTTTCCTTCTACATCCCCTTGAAACCGTGACTGTTTTGACCAATAGAATATAGTGGAATTGACATTGTACCAGTTCTGGGAGTAGCCCTTAACTGGCCTGGCAGTTTCTGTCACTGGTGCCTTTTGGAATGCTTGCTGTTGGGATACATCTTCTTGGAACCCAGGCACCATGCTGTGAGAAGCAAAAGCTACAAGAGCCGTGAGTAGGTATTTCTGATAGGCAGTACCCTGCTGGGCTCCCAGCCAACAGCCAGTATCAGACGCTGGCCATGTGAGTAAGTCATCTGGGAATGTCCAGCCCAGACGAACCTTCAGATAACTGAGCTCCACACATCTGACTGTAATCACATGAGACCCCAATTACTAACTTCCCAGGTGAACCCAGTCAATCCACAAAATTGTGAGATAACTTGCTAATTCAAGCCCCTAAGTTATTAGGTGGTTTGCTATGCAGCAATAAATAACCAGAATTGTTCAGTGCTGATGTGGCAGATAGCAGTTGTCATAGGAATAGTGGTACTGGTGGATAGATGATCTAGGAAGAAATGATATGCTATATAATCTTAGCAAGTTATTTAGATTCCTAAATTCCATTTTTCCATAAATGGGGATAATTATAAGCACCTCACCTAATATAGTTCCTGGCTTTAGTTAAAGAAGGGGTATATGTTTCTGACCCCTTCACCTTAGGGTTTAGCTTTGGCCCATGGAGGAAATAACTTTCTTGTCCATCATTTTACCTTTTCTTTTTGTACGCACATACCAGCTCCTCCCCATGAGATTTAGTGATAATACGATTTGTTGGGCTTACATTTTACTAATGGGCATGGTTATTGAATTGCATGCGTATCTGTGTGACCTACATATCTGTGCATGTGATCTGTTTTGTCTGTAACTGGATAGATGAGAAAATTCCAGCTAGCCTTGCCAGTTCAACTACTTGGTAAGTGCATTCACAAATCTCCCCCCACAAAGCCAGTTATATATATCCCAGATATAGATGTGGAGACATAGGAAGCTACTTCAGCCTTAGGACAAAGTAGTATTCTCCAATCAAGCTTTAAAAGAGCCTTGGGTACTTTAGAAAAGTAGCATTTTATTTATCATATGGTTACTAATTGTTTGTTCATGGCTTCCACAATAGAAGAGAAAATTATAAATGGGTTTAAGAACCAAAGTCCAGGGGTACCTGGGTGGCTCAGTCAGTTAAGCCTCTGCCTTTAGTTCAGGTCATGATCCCGGGGCCCTGGGATGGAGCCTCACATCTGACTCCCTGCTCAGTGGGGAGGCTGCTTCTTCCCTCTCCTCCCCACTCGTGCTCTCTTTGCTATCTCTATCTCTCTCAAATAAATAAAATCTTTAAAAAAAAAAAAAAGAACCAAAGTTTACCCCCTTAACCCTAAGAAACTCCTATTGTTCTTCAGCATTCAGTTCAAGCACTGCCTCCTCTGGAAAGGCCATCTTTATGTCTTCATCCAAGCTATATTAGGTTCCCTTAACAGAGTTTCCATTTCTCCTTACATCTCTTCTAATATTCACATTTTTGTTTGATATTTTCTCCCAATAGTCAGTGAACCTCTTCAGAGCAGAGAAAGGTCTTCCATTCAAAGTGTTGACATATGACAGGGTCTCAATATTTGTGGAATGAATTAATATCTTCTATACATTACAAATTTTAAGGATATATGGGTATGTGGGCCTACAGGTGTGTGTGTGTGTGTGTGTGTGTGTGTATGCGCACAACACTCACCGTACACCGTCCCCCCCACCCCGCCCCACCATTCTTCCAACACAAATAGCCAAAACCTAGATAAAGATTTTAAAGTTATAGCCAAATCCAGAAGTTAAGATATAAGGGGTATTACTTGAGTTAAATAGAAAACTTGTGGCACTTTATTATTTACCAAAAACAATAATGTATTGATGTCATGTAATAAAGGTTTTGCTAATTGATGAACATTTTGAACTTGTAAGCAGGTATTTAGGCAGTAACATATTTGACACTGAAATATTAGTTTTAACAGCCTCTATAATAAATTATTATTAATGCTGCCAAAAAGCAGTACTGAGACCTTGGTACTATTATTTCCTATGTATAATTTAATGCACTATAGGTATCTTGGCAAAATAAACAATAATTATACAAGAGTCACATATAAAAATATTTATTTATATACCTTCATCATCAGAATTGAGTTTGGCTTCCAGTTCCGCTATCTTGTGTCTTATTTCAAGCATTGATAGTTGCACTATATCCCTATTATTAAAAATATCTTGTTAATTATGATCCAATTATAATATGAAAATATTAATACATAATAACACACCACTACTTTAGGAACAATTTATTATGAAACATCACAATTGAAGGCATGGTTGAGAATCAGAAATCAGGCAAATGGAGGCTTCTGATTACCAAGGTCCATTATATGCATTAAAGCTCCTGGTGACCATTAGAAACCCTTTACTCTTACTTAAATATGATCCCAAGAAGTTGTCATCTGGTTTCTCAAAGCCCAGCAAACTAACTGGGATGAGAGAAAGGAATAGCTAGGGCAACAGGTAACTGAAAACCTGAAATAAAGAGGAAAAAAGAAACACTAATTAAAAAAATACACACACACACACACACAAATAGCATTCCAGAGATTATCTATTTAGGACATCAGTAAACTAGCACATTAATTATCAAAATATGTCAGAATCATTTATGCAATATGTATTTTTGATTGCCTATTATGTAAGGCATCGTGCTAAATGCTGAAAATACTACAGTGAATAAATGAACTGAACAATGACAATAGCAGCGGCCAACTTCCATCGAGTGCTTACTATAAGCCAATGTTAAGTACTTTTCACTCAATCCTGGCGACACCCACACGAGGTATAATGGTTTGTACACCAATATTAGAGTTGAGAAAACTCAAGCTTAGTGGTTCATTAACTTGCCCAAGATCATGCAGTTACTGAGTGATAAGAGCTGTGATTTGAATTTATGCAGGATTCCTCTAAAGCGCTTGCTTTTATACTCTGACTCAGGGAACACAATCGGTTCTCAGAATGCTTACACTTTAATATCAGACCAAGAAATAGCCAAGCAATTAAAAAAGTGTTGTTAGAGCTACTACAGAGGAAAGCACAGAAAGCTTTAGGGACACAGAGGTGAGTCTAAATCTCACGGGGCCTGATGGTGGGACTGGGGGTATTAAAAAAAATACTTAAATTGTTTTAAAGATTTAATACGAAGTATGATATTGAGTATTTGTAAAAGTATATAAGAGGGGCATTATTTTTACAAAATGTCACCATTTCTTAATTTCTTCTAAAGGGATGAAAGACAAGCATAACTAAAGAAAACCTTTCTCTGAAACAGAAAAGCTCAATTTAGTGGAACATGAAAATCAAACACATATTTTAGCATTACGGCACATGCACACAATACACTCCATTTGATTTGATCCTAAAGACAGAAAAATCCTACCTCAAAATCCGCCTATTTTTAATACCAAACGCTTAATCAAAGAGGCAAATGAATCCTTCCTATAAAAGTTTTTAGATGTCGCCAGATCTGCCCGGGGTATTAATCAGACTGCTGGCGTCACATCGACCTCAGTGGCTTCAGCTTTCAACAGCAGGGCACACACAGGTGCATCTCCTCAGGCGGCTTGTACCTGAACCCGCCACCGCGCGGCACTCCGCGCGACGCCCTCCAACTCACTTCAAATGGATTTCCTCCAGTAACTCCATTTTCAGGCGGTCGGTGCTCACACCGTCGAAGCTGTCGCCTCTTCCTTCCTCCATACGGTCGGATCAGAAACCCCTCACGCCCTTCCCCTCTCACAGCTAAGACCACACCTGAAGGGACACCCAGAAGCTGGGAAGGCGAGCACTGTCAGGAGCTGTCGTCACGTTGTACTGGCTCACAGTCGCCCGCTCCCCGGCGCCTCGCGGTGACGTCACAGGGCTTCGCCCGGGGGGCGGAGGATGGCTTACCGAGTCAGTGCGGGAGCAGAACACAGGCTGCGCCGCCGCCGAGTGTAGCTACGGAAGACGTCTTCACTGTCCGGGAAACACGTTGTCAGAAAAGCGCCTCTCAAGGCCCAAAAGCTGAGGCCCCATTCCTTTTTCCAAACTGGTGGAAGGGGGATGTGTACCAGCTAGCTACGCGGCTGACTGTAAGGGAGTAGAGAACTGTTGGCCCTGCTGCTTTTTTTAAACGCTGACCCAGGCCTGATGTTCACTTTACCCCTAGCCCTTGTTAGGAAAATGCTGAATCCAAGAATGGCTGTGCCTTTCTTTGCTTCAGTTTACTGGATACTACAGGCTCTACTTAGGAGCGTCTGAGGAGCAGACCTTGAAAAGGCAGGGCCTGAACTCTGACTCTGAGTTTCCAGTACACATTCTGTTTTGCCAAATCTGTTATGCCATGGACATAGCTCAAAGCTGCTGTCAACAGCTTGAAGTTTCACGCTTATATTTGTAATCACAAATTTTGCATTCTGCTCCTGGTATGTTTGTGCTTTAGTATTATCCCTGGCTCCCATCCATCTTTGAGTAGAAAGATGGGCTGCCTTTACCTCTGACTTCTCTGGTACATTTTACATATCCTGAATCAGTTTGAGAAGTGTGAGCATGGGACCATGTTTTCTGACACAAATCAGCACAAGTACTCTGGTAAAGAATTTTATTCTGCTTATTGCTTCATCTTTAGTGTTGAGAAGAGTGACCCTTGGTAGTGGTCAGTAAATACATATTATGCCCATAGGATACTCTTTCAAAGATTTTTTTTTTTTTTTAAGAATAAAAAGCATACTTGGTAAATGCTTGTTTCATTCGGTTGCTGCTTACCAACATTATTTTTGGAAAGTTGATAATTTATGGGAAAAATAGAAAAAATTTTGGACCTATGGTTGCTACACTTAAGTTTTAACAAAAATGGTAGAATAGTTCACTGGATACATGATGGAACTAAGGCAAGTCTCCAATTAGAAAGTGGGTTTTAAAGGAGAGAAGGGAGGGTGCCTGGGTGGCTCAGTCATTAAGCGTCTGCCTTAGGCTCAGGTCATGATCCCAGGGTCCTGGGATCAAGCCTTGCTTTGGGCTCCCGGCTCAGTGGGAAGCCTGATTCTCCCTCTCCCACTCCCCCTGCTTGTGTTCCCTCTCTCACTGTCTCTCTCTGTCAAATAAATTTAAAAAGAGAGAGAGAGAGAGAGAAGGGAGATTCGGGAAATTTGGAGACTCTCTGTATTGGGAGATGTTTAAGCATGGGAACAGTTTGGAATTTAATTGTTTGAACTGAACATAAGTGTAGTAAGTAGCACATTTGATTGATACCTGTTTAGTGTCCAAAAGAACAATGCAGATTTGTAGGCAAAAAGAGAATTTGAAGCGTTTTGAAGAATTAGTTCAATTAATAGCAATTTAGGGTTTAGTATGTACAAAGTGGTTTGTAAGAGATGCTAAATATGTTCAGTGCTTTTAAAAAAACCTATGGTTAATTTAAAAAGTTTAATATGAAAGAATTCCATCATTTAAGTCATGCGGTATGGCAAATCCTTTACTCCCACTTTTGTGCTCAGCCTGAGACAGGTTGTGGGGAGCAAGTTGCAGGTCTCCTCTCAAACACTCACCAGCGTCTATTCCCTGCCTTGGTGGCTTCCTTCATTCTTCCCCAGACAGAATTCTTAATTTTTGTCTCACATAGACTGAAGGGGTGGGGGTAAGAGCGAGCTGGGGATGGTAGAAGGATGGTTATGTATTCTTTCAAATCTTTATGATTTACACCTAAACAATAGCTTTTGAAAGATCAAAAGCCAAGAATTGATGTTTTTGTTCTCTGATTTCTTTGTAGAACCCCCTGCTTCTTTAGGTCAGGAGGGTCAAGAATTCTCTCCACCTCTAATGCTACTTCCAGATCACTACTCTTCCATCCTCATGTAAAAACCCACTCCTCTGATATGCATGCCTTTTTAATTAAAAAAATTTTTTTAATTCCAGAATAGTTAACATAGTGTTATATTAGTTTCAGGGATATAGTGATTCAACAATTCTATACATTACTCAGTGCTCATCAGGATAAGTGTACTCGTAATCCCCTTCACCTATTTCACCCATCCCCCCACCCACCTTCCCTCTGGCAGCCATCAGTTTGTTCTTTATATTTAAGAAGCTGGTGGGTTTGGGGGGCAGAGCAAGATGGCGGAGGAGTAGGAGACCTGGATTTCATCTGGTCTCAGGAATTCAGCTGAATAGGGATCAAACCATTCTGAACATCTACGAACTCAACAGGAGAT